TATGACAACTTCATCGGTGCCATCACATTCCGAATGAATTGATAGTTTTCCCAAGTCTCCAGTAATATTATGAGAAGTAGCAGAGTCGATAAGCCATTTGGTATCATGTTGTTGAAAAGTGGAGACGCAATTTGCTGTGGAGTTAGAAGGTGACAATTTCGGACACTGTTTGGCAATGTGGCCCAATTGATCACAAAACTGACATTTGAGCTGAAAACGTCTTTGACACGTGGACCGGTCCAAGTTGTTATGAGTGTGGTGTCACGTGGGCCGAAGTGTGAAAATGAATGGGGCTGAACGACCCCTATTTACTTGCTGCCTGAAAGAGCCCTGAGAAGAGGAGCCGGAATTTCTTGTTGAGAAAGGCGATTGAGGACGCCAATTTGTGTAGTTAGCTGTGGCAATCAGCTGCTAGGTAGAGGCTTTAAGACGGCGCAGGTAAGCCTCATGACCCACGAGTAAATTGTGGAGTTCCTCAAAGCTCAGAGATTTTTCTCGAGCCCTAATTGGTGCGGCGATGTCTCGATAATCAGCACCCAAGCCATTCAGGATGTATAAAGTGAGATCATCATCAGAAATAGGATGATCAATTAGGGCAATTTCATCTGCAAGGGACTTCACGATGTACAAGTATTCTTGAATGGTTTGATTTTTTTTTTTCATCAGTGAGTTCCTCTTTAAGCTGCATAGCCCGAGTTCGGGATTTGCTCGCATAGAGAGTGTTGAGTTTTTGCCATGCTTCTTGGGAGGTTTTAGCAACAGAGATTAGCGGAGTGATGGTGGTTGCGGTGGATGCCAGAATAGCGCAGAGGATGAGTTTGTCCTGCCTCACCCAATGGGTTTTGTTGAGGGAAGATGTGGGGGTGCCAGTTTGGTTGGGGCAGGAGTGATCGAGAGATTATACCTAATGAGGAGGGCCTCGAATTGGGCACACCATTGGGGAAAAGTAGAGGGAGTGAGTTTCTCGTTGATTTGTGCCGAAATGTTCAAGGCTATCAATGGAGAATCTATTGGGGAGAATGGGTTGTGGGTGGGATTGAGGATCGAAGTCTCGTTAGAAGATCGCTCTGATACCATGACAAAGTTTGAATGTGCAAAGATTTTTCTTTTCTGAATGTTACCGTGTATTTCAATCACACAGAATACATGAAAACATGTACGTTTAAATACATGATTTCATACCAGCTATTCTAGTAAACTTCCTGAGATTATGCCTACTCATTTAAAGAAACTGATTGAAGGATTATTGCCTGCTTGATTCTTGGTTTTGATTCTAGGCTTGATTCTTGGTTTGCTGCTCTATTTTAGGATCATTGTATTGATTTAAGTGATATTCCTTTATATGCATGATCACGATCTGGAAAAAACTGCTAATTTTTTTTTTAACTCATTACTGGTGATTTTGCAAATGCTTAAAAGTAGTTCATTAACCAAGAAATCAGCTCTTTTGCAAAATAAACAGTATAATTTCTAGAAGAAAAGGCACCAATATGTATCTCATCCATAAGGAAATTCTCATCCAGATATGACCAATTGAAGCAGACAAACAAAACTAGAGAGAGAATCACATTTCAAAGTCCCATGTAGTCTCAGCACTTAATTTTGGCATTTTCCTTTCATATGCAAGATTGAGAGACGCTGAAATCTGGAAGGATAACAAAAATGAAAACAGAAAAGTCAGATATGTTACACATGGTTTAATAATATCCTCTATCTGCTGAGACAAGATTGAACTGTTATTTGTTTAATTATGATATCTCCAAAAAAGTGCAAATCATATCCATTTCATAGTATTAAATGAAATTGCATGTTTCATGTTTGAATCACATTGTTGTGGGATTAGAAGAAAATTAACCAGAATGTCTCAAAATGATTCCCTGAAATAGGTTAATGGCTCCGGATTCCACACATCAGATCTCGTTAAAGAAAACAGAGAAACTTGGCTCTTTCCCTAATTTGAACTTTTATCACAGAATTAAATGAGTTCATTTTCATTTAATCAGCGAATTTTGAATCGGCTAAAATTGAATCCAAATCTTCAATGCAATTCTACACGTGTTCCAGATATTACCTATAATTACGTACCAATTTCAAGTATTTTCAAGCAGAAGGCATTCCTTCCTATGGAAATTGAGAAGCCTGGTTCTCAACCTCTGATAAGTACCACACGTACATTTTTTTTTTGGCAGAAAACAAGAAAATGATTTGGAGGAAATCCTTATAATATTACACGAATAATAGCGTGAATTCAAACTACATCATTACAGGAGTAGGTGCTTGCTAGGGAGCTCTCTCTTTTTCGTTCGAAACTTATAAGTGCTCAATGGGGGCTTTCTGCCTTGTTATCCAAAAGGGATTTGAACAGGATATATAATCTTTTCTAAACAACAACAATTCAAATAGCCAGAAGTAATTCATAGCCTGGGTGCACATTCTATCGTTTAACAGGGCAAGTCCATTACCACCATAGAGAATGAGAAAACCCCCCTGCCACGTGGAAATCTAGTTTAGTTATGAAATATTTGAAAAAGAAGATCATCCAGCATTATCAATCATTTCTCATGATTAAAAGTTTTGAACCGAACATCCTGTCTTCCACAAATCTCTGGATTGATAATTAATATTATTATCATCAACCAGAAATCATATTCCCATAAAGATTCATGAAACTAAATTATAATGACTGCAAAACTTCAAATTCATCAAACTCCAACACAAGCATGCAAACATAGGTCATAACAGTGACTGCATTACCTTAAAAGACCCATTCAACTTGGAACTCCGTGACCACTCGAGCTCCAAATCTCTGCTGGAGGTCTGATATGTAGCCTTGAACACATCGTCTCCATAAACTCTGCGCGATACCATGAAATCCCACGCATTCTTCCCCAAATCGTAGCTAGGCTCAAAAGTTGTCAATCCTCCATGAATATAAGTGTACTTCAGCTTACTATTCTCCGTGCCAAGCACATGGTTTGCAGAGACCCTGTTAGTCGAATCAAGCACCAAAGTCCCATCCAATACAGTCCGGTTATCCCCCTTGCTATGAATGTAAGTCATGTTTAATGGCTTATCCGCTACCCTTATTGTATTCATAAATTGAAACATAAAATCCTGCAAATAAAAAAACAGAAAAATTTAAAATGGCTTCTACCACAAAAACCGTGTATTAAGCATGAAACATTTTAACTTCCTTTTTGGTCCAAAACAAAAACATGTTTGAACTTTTTTAATTAAAACAAAGTTAATCTTTAGAGAGCAATTCTTACCATATTTTAAAAATAAGTATTATTTCAAACATCCACAGATAAGGCAATAAATTACTAAGTTTAAATACTTAACAGGTAAATTTACTCAAGCGTAGCCAAACATGCTCTAATTCTTTAATTAACTCCTTTATTAGTTGGAAACCTAGAAATGTTAAAACCGATTAATGCATCTAACTTACATTCCCCATGCATCAAATTTCTACTCCAACCCATCAATTACTTATGCAGAGCAAACTTGTAATTATATTGCAATTCCATTATGTACAAATTTATTAATTTACTTAAAATGAATAGAATATTTGCTCAATTTGAAAACCCATACAACATATAGAACAATAATTAAAAAGGAAATTCTCAAAAATCAACAAATAATTATTGTGCACAATTCACTTGTACATAAATTTGTTCAAAATTTTCCCTAAAATGAATAGAATACTTTATAGAATTTCAATACCGAGAAATCAAACATAAGATTAATTGAAACAGAAGTGCTTACTTTTTTGGGGACGTTATAATCGATGATGAAGAAGCCTGGTTTTTCGAGGGCCAAGGACAAACCATTTAAGCTGGGGCCTTTGATGACAGTTGCTTCGGTCATGGAGGCACGTAGCTTGAAGTCGCCGGCATTAGCGGCGACGGTAGCTGCAGCAGCGGCATTATCGGGCTCATATCTAGACTTGAACGAAGCCTTCATTTCTTTTTCTTTTTCTCTGTCCTTCCTTTCGGAGTTGCCTTGTTTGGAATATAAATATTTTTTCTCAAAATCTTTTTCAGTACTACGAATTCTTAATTTCATAAACGGTTACTAAATTTACCTGAAAATCACAAAACGATCACTAGAGTTTAAAACTTGTAGAAACGATCACTGAAGTTTAAATTTCTTTCACAAATGGTCACTGAATTTTTCGATTTTTTGGGCAAATTTTGCTGCGATTTTCCAGCAACTTCCGACTATCAAGACTGCCGGATTTGAATACCGTTGGAAAGCCCACAATGTCCTCTTCAATTATCACCAAAAATCTCACCATAACTCCAAGGGATTCGACTGGAATATACCCACGAAGTCGGCTACCGAAAAATCTGAAAATTTGCCTAGATTTTCAGATTTTTTGGACGAGTTTGCAGCAACTTTTCGACCACCAATACCGTCGGTTTCAAATGCCGTCAGAAAGCCCACAATGTCCTCTACAATTACCACAAAAAATCTCCCCACAACTCTAAGGGATTCGACCGAAATAAACCCACGAAGTCACTACAAAAACCGCCCAGATTTTCAGATTTTTCGGTAGCCGATTTCGTGAGTATATTCCTGTCGAATCCCTTAGAGTTATGGGGAGATTTTTGATGGTAATT